TTGAAAAGTCCAACACATATGATTATTATCAAAATATTAAACTTTAATATAATATAATAATAAAAAAAACATTTAATTCCTTGAAAAGTCCAACACATATGATTATTATCAAAATATTAAACTTTAATATAATATAAAAAAAGGAAAAAAAAGAAGACATTTAAAAAAAAGAAATGAAAACATTTAAAAATCACAATTCACATATATAGATAATTGTAAACACAATCCGTACATATGCTTGTTCTTAATGATTAAAGTGTTATTATGAGGGATAATAATCATATGTGTTGGGACTTTTCAACACATATGATTATTATCAAAATATTAAACTTTAATATAATATAAAAAAAGAAAAAAAAAGAAGACATTTAAAAAAAAAAGAAATGAAAACAATTAAAAATCACAATTCACATATATAGATAATTGTAAACACAATCCGTGCATAGCACGGGTGATATGCTAGTATATTATAAAAGTAAAAGGGGTTTTTAACCACAACTCTTGTGAGAGCTCCAATATCTCAAATTAAAATTTTCGATTTTTGTGATTTTAAATAATTAAAAAAATTCTCTACAGCTCTCATTCAAGCAAAATATATATATATATATATATATTTAATATCTCTAGATTTATAACTTTCAAATGGAAAGTATATCAAATATATAAAATAAAAAATAGAAAGTATACTAATCCACTTCAAAATTCAAATTTGAAAATATGGAAATCATTCCATTAATTTAAATTTAAAATTATAATGATTTATCCCATAATATATAAGTTTTAAATAATGATCTATTCTATGATCTATCTATATATCTATATACTATAATAATTGCAAAAATATTGTCATTTCATTAAGGTTGAAAGTTGTAATTTTTTTTCTCATTTTTTTTATTTTGTTTAAAAATATTTAATATCTCTAGATTTATAACTTTCAAATGAAAGTATATCAAATATAGAAAATAAAAAATAAAAGTATACTAGTCCATTTTAAAATTCAAATTTGAGGGGCACTAAATATAGAAAGCATTCCATTAATTTAAATTTAAAATTATAATAATTTATCCCACAATATATAAGTTTTAAATAATGATTTATTCTATGATTTATCTATATACTATTATAATTGCAAAATATTGTCATTTCATTAAGGTTGAAAGTTGTAATTCTTTTTTTTCATTTTTTGTATTTTGTTTAATTTTTTGTTGATGCATGTCACAATATGATTGGTCTATAAATTAATTTTATATTCTTAAAATAAAATTTCAAATTTTGATTCTTACTTAAATTATGTTACTATAATTGGAATGAGATCAATATTCATTCCTTAAATTTCGCATCCTTTATTAAATTATAAAATAAAATTTCAAATTATATTACTACAATTAGAATGAGATGAATATTCGCATGTTTCATAATATTATTGGTCTAAATATAATTTGTTTTAAATACATGTGTTCAAATTATTAATCGCTATTAATTTTTTTTTCTTTTTTTTGTTTTAAATTTTATAAAAAAAAATAAAATTATATCCTTCTAAACTATAAGGACTTGAACAATAATATTTTTTAATATAATTTTTTTTGGACAAAAGAACAAAACATAACTTTTTTAGTATTTACCAAACATGGAGGATTTTGTTAGGATATATATATATATATATATTTTAATCTCAATTGTCAATTAAAGAAATTAAAATAACAATTAAGATATTTTTGGCTCAAATTGTTAAAAAGTTATTTTTTCTAAATAAATTAGAAAGTAACGTTAATTTTTTTTAATTAAAAGTGATAGTTCGTTAAACTTTTTTTATTTAAAAAAAATAAAGTTATAGGTGATAATTTATTGTTCATCTCAAATTATTTTCAGATTAAATGAAAATACCATATTAAATTTTTTTACCCTTTTATTTTGTAAGAATTTTTTTTTTCTATTTAATATTTTATTGTAATTTTCAAATTAAAAAGAATTTCTAAAAAATCATATTTAAATTATTTATGACATTATAAAATGTAAATTTTTTTAATATCAACATAGCGGTAGTTTGGGAAGTGCTAAATAAGTATATACTTTTTACTTTTTACAAAAATATGTATAGAAAAGTAAAGATGTGATGTGACATAAAAAAGATAATTAAGTATACTCTTTTACTTTTACGAAAAACTGTGTAGAAAAGTAAAGATGTGATGTGACTCAAACAAGATAAAAAAGTGAGCTAATATGACATTTTCCAAACAACCCTTTATTCGATAATCCCTTTCTAAAAGGTGTATTTTTTAAATATGTTCAAAAAAAAAATTCTATTGAAAATCTTAAGGATATTGTTTTTCTTTTGTTCATTAATATTAAATTTTTAATTAATTTTATTTATTATTTAAAAAAGTATATTAACAAATAATTTATAAATTGATATATATAATTTTGTTTTGATTTCTCAGGTTATTTGGTGTTTCTACCCAAGTCCATTCAAATTTAATTTGAATTTTAAATTTTTGCATAGGTCCTCATTTAATTTAAAACTATGTTATTCAATTATTAAAATTTTTTAAACTTGACTCAAGTTGCTTGGGTTGAACTCACCTAAGTTTGCAATTCTAACAAGGGGGTTGAAAGTTACATGATTAAATTTGTGACAAATTAAAAAATAATAAATAAATTGTGATAAAATTATAGGATTTAAATTGTAAATTTCAATCTTTTTTGTTTTCATAATTTGCATATAAAAATTTAACTATTTATATTATTTTGTATAAAAATATATTATTAATTTTTTGCATGCCACCGGGCATAGCACCGATTATCAATAGTATAGCTATATTTAAAAGGATATGGTTTGTATAGTTATATTTTAAATTCTAAAATTTATTTTAAATTACATATGATTTTTTTCTAAAACATATGAACTCAAAGGGAGTAGAGAGAGAAGTACCATAAAGGAAGAGGAGAACTGAATATATTCAAGATAAATAATTGACTAATACCTTTAATAGTTTTGAAAAAGTAATAATATACAAACATAAAATCAATACAAAAAACTTATTAATAATGATTTTATTTGGATTTTTGATCTATCACTTTATAATGAGTGACATGTTTTTTATTATACAAATGATCCTATTATGCCATTTTAGTATAAAAATTATAGTAAAACAATATTAATTAATAAAAAATAGTTATAAACAAAAACATAGATAATAGTTGGTAGAGAGGAGGGAAAAATAGCACACAAAATATAAAATACAAAAACAAAAAAATAGTCATAGATAAAAAAAAATAAAGAAGAAGAAGAAGAAGAAGAAGGACGAGGAGAAAAAATGGTGTACCTAAAAGATAAAAGAGTTTGATTAAAGCATACAAAAAATTAAACATAAACTAACCTCCAAATTGTCTCATAAAAAGAAAGTTTAAAAAAAATGAGTATCATCATTTCCTGAATGAAATATTCATAGGGCGAGGAAGGCATAAATGACTTAGAAAAAGTATAATGTATAATGGTTAGGATTTTTATATAGAAGAAATAATTGGTTAGAGAAAGAGTGCACAAGAATAATTTTTTTCATCTTTCCTTTTCTAAATTATAAATCATTAAATCATTATAAAAAATAATAAATTATGAGATTTTTTTTAAAAAAAATTACATATAGTATAGATATGCTTAAATTTATTTGGGAATAAAATTATGTTTAATTATGGAATAGAGAGAGAATTTAGATATAAGGTTTAATTTTTATTTTATGTTATGTTTAAATAGATCATACCAGTTGTGAAAGATATTAATAATATACATTTCATGGGAGGTGAGAAAATTTTCTTTTCATTAGATTTATTTTAAGAGAGAGAAGATTGTATGAGATTTATATTCTTTTTGAATAAAAGTTTAATTTATTTTTAGAAGGAGTGGGAGGTTGAGAATTATGTGTTTTTTTTTATCTGCGATATATTTGCATTAAATAATTTTCACGGTTAATATTTATGTCATTGGAATAGTCAATAGATGTTTTAATTTTTTTTAATAAAAATAAAAAATTTAAAAAATTAGATTTAAGGTTTTGAAACACTTAGGTGTGTTTGGTTTGTGTTTTGAGATAAATTTTCAAAACAAAAAAAATTAGAGAAAAAGTTTTTGTTAATCTATAGTTACTTTGTTAGCCAATAATACTATTTTTAAATATTATTTTTAAAATTACAAAAATTAGCAATTTTAGTTTTTTTTTTAATCTATAGTTACTTTGTTAACCAATAGTATTATTTTAAAATTACTACAAAAATTAACAATTGTGGTTTTTCATTTTTTTTTTAATGTTGTTTGTGTAACATATATAATTGTTTTGTTATGAGATGAAATTTGTGTTTTTTTAATGTATAATATTTTTTTTAATGTATTGTTATTTTATTATGAGATGAGATTTAAGAAAGAGAGAAATATTGAAATGAGAGATTTTAGAAACTTGTAATTTAAAATTTTAGGTGATTTTTTATTTATTTTTAATCTATAATTACTTTATTAGCCAATAGAATTATTTTTAAATATTTTTAAAATCACAAAAATTAGTAATTGTGAAATGAGACTTTAGAACTCTCATAAACATTCTTATTAATTTTTTTTTTTTTATACATATAATAATATAAAGATAGATAGATAAGAGGGAGTATATTTAAAACAAAATCAAATAAAAATAATAACTACATATAATAAAAATAAAAAAATATATATTTGAAATTATGCCGTGAGAATAGCCGCTTCAAAAAAATTAATAGGAGAATTGATTTCGACAAGTACAGCGTTGCTTTTATCAAAACCAGATACCATAATAAATTGCTTTTGCCAAAGCTCCTCTGCATTTTACCAGCTAGCATGCATATTGCTTTAACAGACCTCCAAGGTCCCCCACATAACGGGGTCGTTTAAAAGTCTTTCTACATCATACCACGTCGTATGGATTCCTTAATTTTCTTTTCTGGTCAAGAAAATGTCGACGCGCTTTATTCCCCCTCCTTCCCTCCAAACTTTACCTTTTCTCGGAACTCGCACAGATTCTCTCTCTCCTCTCCCCCACCACTCCCCCTTTTCTCTCTCTAGAAAATCCCAGAAAAACTCCACTTTGTTCTGTTCCTAACAAACCTCTGTTTCAACAACACTCACATTTTAGTGGTCTGTTGAATGTGATTGCTTTTTTTTGTTGTTTTTTTACATTATCTCGAGGGAATGTAAGTTGGAATTCTTGTCTGGTTTGTGGGTTGTCTTTGATTGCTTGGTTAATTACGATTTGGGTTCATGGTTGGTTGAGTTTTGACATGATTTGAAGTTAATGGATTGAGTTTTGTACGTGTATATTGTTGCTGGGTATTCTTGAAGTTGGCGTTTTTGTACATTGTGAGTGAGTGAAATGGAGGAAGGATCAGAAGTTCGGTTAGTTCGTTGCCCTAAGTGCGAAAATGTTCTTCCTGAGTTCCCTGACTTCTCTGTCTATCAGTGCGGTGGTTGTGGTGCTATTCTCAGAGGAGGTATTCCTTCTTTACTCTCTCTCTCTCTCTCTCTCTCTATATATATATATATATTACACATGCATATCCCATTACATGTATCACATATATGCATATGGATTTGCACAACAAAAACAAATATGCATGTATTTATTGTTTGTTTATGTATGTTTGTGAATTCTATTTTTATTAGTTCTTGTAAAAGTGTGCATCTTTTTTATTTTTTATTTATTTTTATTTATAATATTGCAGCAAAGAAGGAAGCTGTGAGTGATGGCTTGTCGGAGAAACCCGATGAGGAGAGGGGGAAAGGGGGTGCTGAGAAAGAGTTTGGTGTTAGTTTAGAATGCATTTCTGAGTTGGAAAGCGATGGGCTTGAACATGGTAGGAAAAGAGAGAGAGTTTTTTCAGAAAGAACAGTTAATTTGATTCATAGTTCTTCACCAAGAACAGAAAATAGGGAGTTTTTAAACAATTTTGATCAAAATAATAGAAGAGAGAACATGAATTTGAGGGGTGATCAAAGTAATGGAGATGCAGAAGCCGGATATTTAAATGATAGATATTCAAAATGCCCAATTAGTAATTTGGTTCACGGAAATGATCATGAAGTGAACACGTATAGGAAGTGGTTTGAATCTGGTGATTCGTGTGTGGAGAATGAAGTCAAGAAAATTAAACCCCCAAATGAGGACTTTGCGGGTTCATTGAGATCAAGGCCAGTTAGGGATAAGAGGGGTATGGAGAGAAATGGATTGGAGGCATTCTACGGGAGTGGTAGAGGTGTTGCAGAATGGAGGAGGTTTTCAGCTTTCCCTTATCCCGATGAGGGACCTTCAAGTTATTGGCCTTGTTCTTTCAATGGTTATGCTGAGCAGAAAAGGATTTGCCGTGATGAATTGGATGGGCCCGGAAGAGTTGAAAATTGGGAATATGATCGAGCTGAGCTCCTTAGCAAGCTCGATGAGTTGAAGGATCAACTTAGCAGATCATGTGATGTGAAAGAGAAACCAACGGAAAAAGGTCCTGTTGATAGGATGGTGGCTGCCCCTCCACCACCACCTCCACCGCCGCCACCACCACCACCTCTACCTACACCTCCACCCCCGCCCAATTATTATTATGGACATAATTCTTATGCGCAATCCTTTGCTCCGAATAAAAATGTTATGGATTATTGGAATCATAATCATGGACCTGGTCGTTACATCAATGGTGGCATTTTGGATATGCAACAAGACTTCTATCCTCCTCCTCTTCCAAGGAATGCTCCAAATGAATGTTTGGGATATGAGGGTCCCTATATGCCACAAAGACTTAGGAGGCCTCCAAATCAGCCACCACCTCAATCCTTGAATGAGCCTTATCACGATCATTTCCCTGGACAGCATGTGGATTTTAATCAAAATACCCTTGCATCACATCGACAGAAAACCTTTTTGCACCACTCTACATGCTCTTGTTTGCAGTGCAACAACAAGAATTGGCAAATGCCACCAAAAGTCCCACACCCCAATCCTATGTTCCACCATCGTGTAAATTCTGTTGTATATGGCCCACAGGACTATAATTCTAGAGTTGCTTATCCTCCTCATCTGCGCTCTCTCATTCGGAAACCTCAGACAAGAAGTTCAAGTGACTTCGATTTAGACAATGGTCCTGGTCACCGGCATTCAAGAAGGGTGGTGGTTGCCCATGGAAGTGAACGGGTTTGTCATCCCATAGCAGGTGGTGCCCCATTTTTTACATGCTACAGTTGCTTTGAGTTACTGAAATTTCCAAGAAAACTTGTGGTGATGGGGAAGAATCGAGAGAAAGTGCGATGTGGAACTTGTTCTGCAATAATCTTGATTGGGTTTGAAAAAAAGGGGATTGTTGCTTCAATTCCCACACAACTCACACAAGCTTCTGTTGAGGGTGATGATGTCTCTGGTGTGACGTTGAATGAAAATCTTCAAAGTTCCCATCATTGTTTGAATGCTGGTACTACAAACTCTTCTTCTGATGACTTTGATAATTCTGGTTATAACTTTCATTTGACAGATTGTGAACCCATTGTCTTGTCAAGGGACCGAAAGTTAAACTTCGGTGAATCCAATGAAAGACAGGGTCACCATTCTTCTTCTTCCAGTTTTTCAGAGGATGATCAAAGCCCGGAGTGTGTGATTTTTCAGACTGAAATTGCTAATCTGCCTTCAAAAGATGATGGGTCTCTACCACTTCCAGATTCTCCTCGTCAGAAAGATCCTGATAATGCTTCTTCTAATTATGTAGTAAGCAGATATGAGATGGGAAACAAAAGTAAACGTAACGGTCAAGAGAAGGTGATCATTGGAAGGAGTACCTCACAACAGAATTTTGTAAAAGATGTTTCAATGGAAACTGAGATGGATGTTTCTTTTAATGAAGTTCTAAATAGTGCCGTGTCTGAAGACCCTGAAGAGGTGAGCAAAGAAGATCGAATTGGGATCAACAAGGGGGGTGAATCTTTTTTTGCAGGTCTCATCAAAAAGAGTTTTAAAGACTTCTCGAGATCTAACCAAAGCGTGGAGATGGGAAGATCAAATGTTTGTGTTAATGGCCAACCTATATCAGATCGTGTAGTTCAGAAGGCTGAAAAGATGGCTGGGCCTATTCAGTCTGGAAACTACTGGTAAGTACATATACTGACCTCATATCAGATCATCTGTGTATCTTGCAAATACTTTACGATGTTGATGTAAGAGCATCAAAACTTGTGGGGCTTGCTGTATTTTTCTCCAAACCTCAGGGGTGGTTAGCGTACTTTACCAAAAATGAATATGTAATATGGAGACTTGAATGTTGTGTTGTTCATTGTAATGGTTTGAGTACAATTTCCTAATTGGTGCATCTGTTGTTGTTGTTAACCTGTGATGCTAATTGCTGTTTTTGTATTCTTTCTGCCTAATCAGGTATGATTACCGAGCTGGATTTTGGGGTGTGATAGGCCAGCCTTGCGCTGGCATAATTCCCGTGAGTTCAATTACTCACTTGATGTGTAATTTTCCTAGAGTTCATTTGATCAAAGATACTGATGTGACCACATTATTATCTTGCAGCCACTTATTGAAGAATTGAATTACCCAATGCCAGAGAATTGTGCTGCTGGAAACACATGTGTTTTTGTGAATGGGCGAGAACTTCATGAGAAAGATTTAGATTTACTTGCTGGCAGGGGCCTGCCTACCACAAGAGACAAATGTTATATTATCGAGATTTCTGGTAGAGTTTTAGACGAGGACACTGGTGAAGAACTAGATAGCCTTGGCAAACTTGCTCCAACGTGAGTGCTGATGTTCCCTCCACTGGATTAAGTTTCTTAATTATTATGTTTTAATAATACGAGGTATTTGCTTTACCTCCTTCGTTCCCTCCATTGTTCAGTGACCTACTAATGTTTTGCATTGGCTAAATTTTATTTGCTTTACCTCCAATACACACACACACACATACATATATAGAAAGAAGTTCTTCTATTGTTCAACTAGAAGGATTTTATTCTTTTTATATTTTAGTTTGAAACTGTATTTTGTATAAACTTTGGATTATAAGTCATGATTAGTATTATCAACACAGAAAGCTATATGAAATTTGAAGTGTATGGTTTATTACTTTGATAAAGTGTTGATTTCAACAGCAATGCACATTCAGAAGCACTCGTATTCTGGTCAATCTGTAGCTTTGCTAACAAATTCATGAAGATGTGATTTACTGCATTCTTAATTGCCCTATTTCTAATGGATGCATTCTGGACTATTGACAATTTGGACAGGGTCGAGAGAGTAAAGCACGGATTTGGCATGAAAGTTCCAAGAACGCTTGCGCAATGACCAGGTGGTATCCTGTTATCATTCATGAGATCAATGAAGCTGTTGCCATTTGGAAAATTGGTATGTGTTTAGTAGACGGATGTACCGTTGAAATTTTGATGGATGCAAAGTTAATCTTTTGTTGTTTAACATTTGTTGTATTTGTAACAAAATTTTCCATGAAAAATTAAATGTGTTGTTTATACGTAGCAATATCTCATCTTTGTGGGTAAAGGCCAGTTACATTGCCCAGTATGTCAAATTGATGTTGAGAATCTTGGTACTCTCTGGATAGACCCTAGAGAATTCATTTGAATTGGTAGTTGAACTATATAAATCTTTCAGTCAAAAAATAAAAAATAAAAATTATTGTTCAGATCATCACAGTTTTTGTGGGTCTGATTACTATTTCTCAACTGTTTGCTATGTTCACGTATTAACTCAAGGATTGTTATGTAGTGGGATTAGCACAAGTTGGAGTTAGGCTATAAATCAAACTAAGTTGCTCCAGCTTGACTCGTGTTTGGTTCATTAAAGTTCGTTCAAGATTGATTTCTCATGTAAATAAATGAAACTTGAACATATTTCGAAACTCATTGGTGTTTCAAGCCCAACTTGATAAACTCGTATGCATTATGACGAAAACATCTTTCAATTCATAGGAGCACATAAAAACATCTTTGGATTCTTTTAAAAGAGCGAGTAAGGGCTGTTGTTTTTTGAAGATAGCGTGGATCCAATTTGGACCATGCAAGGATTTTCCTCATTGCCTTGGTTTATTGAAATCATTTCATCTATGACAGGTTTAGCTCGTCTTTCTTCTTCCTATTCAATTATGTCTTTTATGCCTGGAAAAATTTCTTCAAAATCATTTTTATTTTTATTTTCAAAATTGGTGGGATTAATACTGTTGACTATTGGCAACGCGAAGTATTCAGAATCACTCATTAATTGAAGTTGGGGGGCTTACATTCGATTCAAATTCAAAATAAAAAGAATAATTGGACTCGATTCTTACTTCTGGATTTATAAGCTCTGGGCCTCTCAAATTTAATGATGCGTTAGAATTCGACAGGTCAAATTTTGACTCGCTGAACTCATTATTAGATTCAGACTCACTGTCAAATTCATGGGCAAGACATTTTTCAAGGGACTAGTTTTGAGATTGGGTGTTCACATCTACTCGAGTTTGACTCAATTGAAATCTGTTTAGAGATTGGTTCAAAAATTAGACGAGTCAAATTTTAACATATTTAGATGCTTGTAAGTTTTTCATATAAGTTTAAACATGTTGGTAAACAGGTCGGGTTTCGGACCTGGGTTTGGGTGCTCATCTTGACATGACCCATGACTCATGTAAGACCTATTAGAAGTTTGAATTTAAATTCAGAGTTATCCTAAGAGATGAGGATAGCTTACCATCTCATCTTATTTGATATAAGGATGGGTGGTTACTTATCTCTATATATTGGTCATATAATATACGCATTATCATTGGAGTGGAAAAGGGAAAACAAAACGCAATATTGTATGGATAAATTTTCATAGTGCATTCAATCTCTCTATTAATTAAACAATGGCTTTTGTACTATGAGTTGTGTGGGTAATACTCAGTATCACTCCGCTGCTGAGATTTCAACTGGTGATTCGGAGGCACGTGATTTATTAATTGGATTCATTCTTTTCAGATTCGAGATATTCAAATATGGATTGAATTCGTTAATCCGCTGCATGTAGATATTCTTACAAAATAACTCATAAATTGACTCGTTTACAAATAGTATTAAATCTTATCCTTTCATGGAATTATAAAGTTGTATCAAGATCAAGAATTTAAGTTTGTTTGTTTATTTTATTTTCTTTCATTAATTCTTCTTGAATCTAGGGATGGCAATGGGGGGCAATGGGGTGGATATTCATTCCCCATCCCCATTCCCTTATAATAAATTTTTCCCATTCCCCATTCTCCATGGGTACCACCCTCCCCATTTTTTAATGGGTATGGATTTTCCCCAACCCACTTTAATCCCCATTTTATTTTTTATATTTAATGTTAACAATCACTTTTTTTTTTTTTAAAGGTTCACAACAAAAACTAAATATCCCTTCAATCTTTTTTCTTTCTTTTTAAATATATTTAATGTTAACAATTTTTATTAATACATATGAATGGATGCACGCATGCATAGCATCCTTATGCTATCCTTCAATCTTTTTTCTTTCTTTTTTAATATATTTAATGTTAACAACGTTCTTCTTTTTTTTTTCTTTTTTTTTATAAAGGTTTTAGCTAAATATACCTTCAATCTTTTTTCTTTCTTTTTTAATATATTTAATTTTAACAATTTATTTATTTATTTATTTATTTTTTATTTTTTTAAGGTTCACAACAAAAGCTAAATATACATTCAATTTTATTTTATTTTATTTGGTTCAACAACAAAATCAAATACACATTAATTAATTAATTAAAAAGTTTGTTTTATAATAATCAAATATATAATTTTGAGACAATCAAATAAGTTTTAGTAATTGAAAAAAAAAATGTGGAAGAACGTGGAAGATTAAAAAAAAATTACAACCATCTCTCTCTCTCTCACTCTCACTCTCTCCCATACATGTTATAAGAACCTGATTACAATGTTATAAGAGCATGTTTGAAGAAATAAAATGTGAAAAAACCTGTTTGAAGAGAGTGTTATAAGACCCATATTAAATTGCATCAGGGCATAAACAAGAAATTGTTTATTGATTTCTTAGCCACGGACATTTTAAACATTAAACCATCTTTCTCTTAGCAAATTTGAACCATTCATTTTAATTTATCCAAAATCTAATTATACCTTTAACAAATCTGAACCACTGCACATCTATTGATCTACTGTTGTTGTCTTCCTTAATTGGATTGATATTTTTTCTTTCCTTAATATCCTTACATTAATATATGTGTATACATGCATATAATTTGGTGCGTATTTAATTTTGAATTATTTTCTGATTAAAACACTGAAAATTTTGATGGGTTTTGTTCTAATTTGCTCTTGCTGTGGACATTGTTTTGGTTGCTCACACTGCACATCTATTGATCTACTGTTGTTGTCTTCCTTAATTGGATTGATATTTTTTCTTTCCTTAATATCCTTACATTAATATATGTGTATACATGCATATAATTTGGTGCATATTTAATTTTGAATTATTTTCTGATTAAAACACTGAAAATTTTGATGGGTATTGTTCTAATTTGCTCTGCTATGTCAAAATGCTCAGAGTGGACATTGTTTTGGTTGCTCACACTGCACATCTATTGATCTAACTGTTGTCTTCCTTAATTGGGTTGCCCATTTTTACTTTCCCTAATATCCATACTGTAATATATGCATATAACAGTTACTTACAAAACCCATGTCATTTTGAGACGAATTTCCAAAATACAAGTTGTTTTCAACTTAATTATTTTGAAGTCGTGTTTTCAAAACATAACTTGAAGCCTAAATTGGTGTTTTGAAAACACAAAACAACTTGCATTTGAGAAAACTGTTTCAAAATAACTTTTATTTGGTCATATATTGATCATATCAATATACGTATTATCATGAGAGTCGAAAAGGAAAAACAAAACGTAATATTGTATGGGTAAAGTTTCTGAGTGCATTCAATCTCTCTATTAACTAAACACAGGCCTTTGTACTGTAAGTTGTGTGGGTATTACTCGCATTGTAGTATCACTCCACCATTGAGATTTCAACCGGTGATTCGAAGACACATGATTCACTCATCAGATTCATTCTTTTCAAATTCTAGATATTCAAATATGAATTGAATCCATTAATCAGTTGCGTATAGATATTCTTACAAAACAACTCATAAATTTACTCGTTTACAAGTAGTCCTAAATCTTATCCTTTCATGGAATTATAAAGTTGTATCAGGATCAAGAATATAAGTTTGATTGTTTATTTTATTTTATTTTTTTTCTTTCATAAATTCTTCTTAAATCTTATTTGTCAGAAAAAAAAAAACAGAGAAAGGCCACCCTGTAATTGATGACAATGACTAAACACCCACATAGGTTTAGATTGACAAGTGGTTGGTAGGGACTTCAATGCTTTTTGGAACAATAATGATAGAGACCACTAATTTTTGAGCTCTAAAAAGACCACTAATGACATGGCACTTAATAAAAAAAGAAAAAAAATATAACACTAAGGCTAAAACATCAAATCATTTCTGGTGAGGCCCACTACCACATCATTAGTGATAGCATTAATTAGTGCTCTCACTCATTTTCCTTTTTGGAAAGTCACTTATGATGTGTGAAAGGAACAGCAAGAAATGTATAAAAGCACCAAGACAAAGGGGTGATTTGGAACTAAAAGTTGTGTTTTGTAGATTAGGTGAAAAGTTAGAAGTTAGTTTTTTTTTGGCAGAATAGCTAAAAGTTACTTGTGAAATTAGAGCTATACTCTTCCGTTGCAAGATGAGTCACGTGTAGAATTGTAAATTTCTTAAATTGAGTGGAAGTATTTTGGTCATTTAATTATGATATGGCAACATAAATAAATATTAGGTAAAAAAAGTCAAAAAATAGCTTTTTAATGGGCTGGATTCAGTTGGGCTTCTAAGCAGGGGCTTATGGGCTCTCCTACAAAAAAAAATAAAAAACAAATGATATTCGGACATTTCCACAAGACAACGTTGTTTTGGCCCTATTTGATAAAATTTATAAAGTGTTTATTTCAACTTTTGACTTGAGGTCAAGTTTGGCAAGTCAAATATAATTCAAAAAGTTATACAAAAAGTAAAAAATGTATTACTATTTATAAATAAAAAATATTAAAAAAATATTTTATATATTTTTATGATATAAACCCACTGACAGCCGTTAAGTAGACCATCATACACTCCTTTTGGGGCAAAAAAAAAATTGCCTCCTTCGGGGCAAATAACTTTTATATAGTGATGGTCTGTCTGTAGGGGTTACCATGGGTCCCATTTTAATAATCTGAACCGTTAATATGTAGACATTGTCAAGTAATAAATTTTTGTAAAAAATCACATTGATCGGATATCGATAACTATATGATCAAATCAGTTTTGTATAAACAAAACGGATGGTGTGATAGTTAACTGTTGAACAAAACTAATCCGATCATATAGCTATCGATATCCGATCAATGTGATTTTTTATAGGCATATAATACTCGACAAGTTGTACATATTAACGGTTCAAATTATTAAAATGGGAGCCA